ATTGTATTGTAGAAAAACGCTTTTTTTCTCTCTCATTTCAGAAAATGAAACTAGTCTTCCATAGTTTCGTTATGCGCTGAGTTAAATATTTCAAGCCTTGAATTCTTGTAATTTTGATGAAGATGGCTAAATATGGATTGCTAAAATTCAGTTTCTCAGCATCCTAAAATATTTTTTTGAAAAACCTAAATATTGAAAATTCATGGTGTCACAACTTAAATCAACTAGAACACCTTCAAAGGTTTATCCAGAAGACATTGATGGTAAACCACAAAAGCTCATTGCTATAGAAGCTGATTGTTGAGAATGCTGAATCCAAGCATATTTATAGAAAACTGAATGGAAGGAAAAAGTGTGGTAGGAAAAGGATAGCAACAGGAATAACTACAATCTTGAGAGATTTACTAATCAAATTTAATGCAATTTGTTTGATACCCAGATATTCCTGAGTACCTCTACAGCATGAACACCAAATCAGGGGGGTGGGGGGGAAATATATATATATAAATACAAGGTGAGAATGGGCACAAAAAGGTATCTAAGGCACTGATCATTTCCTGAAGTTCAACTATAGACGACATACATGGAAGGAATTTGGTGCATGTATAAATCTGGTTGGATTAGGCTGCCCTCTCAAACTGAAAGACAAGAAAGAGAATAGTCTTTTTTTTTTTGTCAAAAAAATGACAATTTTTTGATTTGTAAAGCAATAAAAGTATAAAGCATCCAAGTGGATGAATATCTTTTTTGATTTACGTTAGTCTTATCCCAAAAAAATTGGATTAAAAAAACAAAATAAAATATAATTATGTATGAATCCCATATTAAACAGTTTGTATCAACACATCCGCACTTTAAATATTTCTCCCAAAAGTCCACAAATTATTTTTAAATATATTTTTAAATATATCTGGATGTTTATTGCTGCTTTCAATGAACTACCAGTAGGAAAGTGTGGCAGTCTCAAGAGTACTTTAATTTAGAGATCTGCAAACATGTAAAAATTTTTATCTCAATAAATCCAGATTTCTGACACTGGAATAGTATTAATGGCACACAGTCTGCTGCTTCTGATACTGCTAGGCTTCATTAGCAGACATTGAAGAATTTTTACAGCAGCTGCCTATTATCATGCAGTATGGCAGATATGCAGTTTATTGTGATCCAAAAGCTGCTTCAGGTCTCAGGTATGGGGGAAGAGTGGAGGGAAAAAAAGAAAAAAAAAACAATCATAGGATGCGCAGGGTTTGGCTACTTATGTTTAGGAAGATGAAGACCCAAAATAATAGTTTTAAATGTTTTATTAGAACATTTTAAGTGTTTATGTCTTGTTTCCTTTACTCGGTTTATACATGCAGGCAAGCGTTTAGCATAATGTGCAACTTATTCGAGCAAGTGTTTCGCAAGATTATAACTTTATATGCTATGCTGTTTTCCTGTTACTGAAGGGGGCTGAGTTTTTCTTTTGTTCTTATATCTTATATGTGTGTGAGCAGGTTAAGGGGAAATGTGCAACTTGCATCTGGGCTCCGCTTCTCTGACTAGTTTGGTGACAGTTGTCGTATGCTTTTTATCTTCAAATAGAGCATCTAAAGACAAAAGTCGACCTTTCTCCACTTTGAGTGGTTCCTCTGTCCTTTGTTATGGAATTTCCACCACAGTCTTCAATATGCTCAATTAACTGAAAATGTATTCTAAGCACTGTAGAAAATATAGAAGAGAGAAAAATATTTTGTGGGTTGTATAGGAGTTTTTGTTTTTTTGGTTGCTTTTCCAACAGAAAATGAAATGATTGCAGTAATTGTTCAACCTTCCTCTGATGGACTGAAAATTGCCTTACATTTTTGATGTATTTTAAAGAATTTATTATTATATTTTTTTTACATTTTCAATATCGGTCTTCTGATCACTAATCGACAGATTCAAATATCTACAAGAATTTTTTTTCTGTGTATTTAACAAGTCTATTTTGTCTCATTTCAGGAACGTCTTCTTGCCTACCTCCCGGAAAAGTTTAAGAAAATAGCAACATGCATTCCTTCGCGTTGGTGAATGTGCCGACTCTTCAGATTGGACAGTCACCTCAAACCTCACAAGCTGCTACCCAACAATACATAGGCACATTGGGAGTTTGGTCTGCAAACGCCACACAGCAGTATGTGACGGGGAACGGAGGAGTACAACTGTCTCACGGCACTGATTTTGCCTCACAGAATGGAGCAAACCCTAGCAGACAAATGTCAAATTGGCAGACCTCTGATGCTGCTTATCTGGAGGCGCAGTCGAAAAATGCTTCACATTTCCAGGATCATGCCCTTTTCCAAATAATTCTTAGCCAACAGCAGCAACTGCAGCAGGAGCAGCAACTGCAGCAGGAGCAGCAACTGCAGCAAGAGCAACAGGAGCAGCAACTGCAGCAGGAGCAGCAACTGCAACAGGAGCAGCAACGGCGGCAGCAGCAACGGCGGCAGCAGCAACTGCAGCAGGAGCAGCAGCAACTGCAGCAGGAGCAGCAACGGCGGCAGCAGCAGCAACTGCAGCAGGAGCAGCAGCAACGGCGGCAGCAGCAGCAACTGCAGCAGGAGCAGCAGCAACGGCGGCAGCAGCAGCAACAGCAGCAATTGCAGCAGCAGCAACATAGATTAAGCAAATTACAAAATGAGAATCTTCCTGTGACAAACACTGGCATATCTCAGCAAGATCCAATGCAAAACTCTCATCAAAATGGAGTGGACCACAGTCAGCGTAGTACGACGGTCACAAACGCCACCTATACCCAACAAAGCATGTTGGTGCTCTGCAAACAGACAGTTCCCTATAATGGGGCTCAGATGAATAGGACCATGAATGCCTCACATCTTCTACACAGCTGGAGCAAGCAGGCTTTTCATCCAGCTGCAAATGGAGGAATGACCAGACCCGTTTCATCGTACCCTGCTGCTCCCTCACTTCCGTATCACCAGACGGTCAATGCCAACACAGCACTAGCTGCAGCTGTTCATAATGGTCAAGATCACGTGTCTTCTAATCAAATGCACAGACCAAATTTCTCTCAGGGTGGACACTCTCAAAACTATACATCAAAATGTGGAACTGCAACCTCTCAGACATTTAAGAACAACAATGTTGCTACTTGGTGTACATCCTCAAATTCTCAGACTACACATGCTTCGCTTGTACATCAAGCAAATCAGCAAACTTCAACTCAGTGCAATCCTTCATATAACAACTACAGAAGTTTCAGGAATGTAAATTTATTGAATGAAAGAAATGTTCTTACAAAAAGAAATGATCCCCCTCCTCCTTACGAGACCTCCCATCATTCCATTGCGTCCAGAATGTCTAATCAAAATAACCAAACTGCGACCGTAGCTCATTCCGAAAATCCCAGCTTGAAGGCTAGCCAATCTTTATCGCTCCACTCTGAACGGATTTGGCCTCAAAGTGTTAAGTCAAGAGCACAGCAAATTTTAAATGCATCATTTCAGCAAAACTCATTGGCAGATGTTGTCCACCCCCGTTCCTCACAAGGGAACGGGGGTGGAAGTGGCCAGGTAGTTGCCGTCAATGAAACTGTAGCTAAAAGATTTCCTGTCGTTTCTCAGAGTAACTCATCACAAGGATATGAGAGGGTGTTATTGCAGAGAGGCAAGCCTCAAGCCGTTGCGGTAAGCCATTCAAATAAGGATGTTGGAATGTCTTCACCATTCAAACAAAATGAAAGCTGTTCCTCCTCCATGTCTGGTCAGACCGGCATAAGAGCTGTTGCAGTCGTTCCTCCCTTGTCGCAGGAGGAGCCTAATTCTCCTGCTTCTGCCGAACCTTGCAAATCTGTGGATGATGCAGAAAAAATTAGCATTTCACCCAATGTAACTACAATTTGTGAGGCTACACCTGGAAGCCAGGAATCTAATCAGAACCAAGTGATCACCAACAAAGCGGCATCGGAGCCAGAAAGTTTGACTCAAACACCAGAGCGTGATAATGATGAATCTGTTGTTGAAATGGTTTCACAAGAGTCAGAAAGTCAAACTGGTTCTGGAGAACAAACTGAAGTGGCTTCACCTCAATCACCACCTGTTTATGAACTTTCTCTGCTCCCAACAAAATCTTGGACTCCTGAGGATCTGACCAAATTGATAATGGCGATGGAATCCGAACCCAAGCAAACGGGCACTTCCAAGGTGTCGAATCTTGTCAATATAGTTGTGACAATGTGGGATAAAAATGTTCGAGCAATGCTTCTTGGCTACAAAAAAGACTCTGAAATTGGTTTTATTTCTGATATAGAAAAATTCTGTAACGCATACATCAAGCAGGACACTTCTATACTCACAGAAGTAAGCCCTGACTTTAAGGACCAACTTAAACGGTACAAAATCCTCAAGGAAGGTGAGGTCTACTCAGAAACTCCTTACAGATCTTTGTGGTTGAATGTCAATGATCAGCTTGACGACATAGATAAGGAGTTTGGCTTCCCGTGGGCTTTGAAGCGACATCTTTATGTGGACGAAACCACAACCGACGACTTTGAGACTTTCGAAAACGTTCCTGAACAAGCTGCCAGTGAGTCGGTAAACAAAGTTTTGCCTCTAACAGAGTGTGAAGCAGTTGACATGACAGAAGAAAGTGAAACCCCCCAGGACCTTACGGCTTCCCCACAGGAGTCGTGGAAAGATTCCTGTGACATGAGCTACTTGTTTAAAATAGAGGTTTTGCCTCCAGAGGAAGCAAAAGTCATCTTTGAGCAAGGGCAGAAAGACAAGAATCAAAGCTCTAACTGTGGAAAAGAAACTGATGCAAGTAGCTCTGAGCAGAGAGGGGGATCTGAAGATATGAATTTCACAAAAAATGATCCCAAACCAAAGAAATCTTCAGACAATCGGAGACTAAAAGAGATTTGCTGCCTTGCAAGATTTATAGAAATGAACTCAGGATTAGGCAACCTCTCCTCCAAATGCCAATGCAGAGACACACAAAATGCTAGTGAAGGCACCACTGTCCTTGAACCTGATCCTGATTGCTTACTAATCGGCCAGAAGGTTGCTAATCGTCAAACTGCTACTCAGAATGGCCCTCATCTGTCCATTAATCTTAGTCAGATAATTGATTTGACTGACGACACTGATGACCAACTTTTTTCTTTTCATGATAAAGAATCGGAGTCCATTTTTCAGACCTGCAGCCAGTCAAATGCTGTTAGTGTAAGCAGCCAGGAGGCTGGGGAACTTTCTGCTGATTTTTCCTCTCCAAAAGAGATGCAGGAGTTTGTCTTCGAGGAGAGAGAATCCGAGTTGGAGCATGTCCAAGAAAAGCTGCCATCAACAGGAGCTGTGCAGTCGAGTGATCCACAGCTAACCAAATGTGATCCTTCCAATTTTATTGAAACAAATGAGCTAACTCAGACGTTTAACCAGACGGAAAACTGTGAGCAAGCTCCTTTAACATCTGACGACCAGGCTTTATCACCTTCGGAAAACAAAACTCAAGTAAGTGACGCCACCAGCCAGACATCCTTGAACTTTGTCGTTAATAGGATAAAAACAGAGAAGAGACAAAGGAGTCTTGACCAATATTTTCCAACTCTAAGCAAACCTAAAAAATGTAGACTGCCCGTTGCCTCAGATACAGATCACAACTCTGAAGCTCAAGAGTCAGCCTCTGAAGGAAAAACTGTAGAATTGATGTTGTTCGGAGCTGGGCAACCAGAGACAAGTTCTCCATCCAGAAAACATGATGTCCTGGCTTCTTCTCAAGTAAGAATGTCTTATGAAAAACACAAACCTCCCGAAGTTCTGTCTGTCAAATTAGACTCGTTGGGAATGGACTCCACTCCAGCTGATCCCACAAGGGACTACTCGATCAAACAGCTTATTTATGAAAAATGGAGGAGCAGTATTCCAACTATGAGTGGATCGGGCTTTTTTCGGCACAAAAACAAACTGAAAAGGCAAACCAGCTTACCTGCTGTAATTTCTAGCGAAAGCACCAAAGAGCAGGCACAGACAATTCCCTCTAAGCTGAGATTCTATGATCGAACTAAAAAGTACATTCAGAGTTTAAAGAAGATGAAGAAGAAGAATAAAAGGAGGGCCCTCGCTGATCGCCTTACACGTGAAGACACAAAGAGGAGGTGCTACAGTGTCACCCTCGAGGGACCTGAACATCAGCAGGGAGGTGAAACCAGTGACAAGATGCCGGTCCATGACAATATTGTCTTGAAGTTCAATGTCCTGCCAAACACCTTTAACTTGGCAGATGGGTCTGCTGAGACGGAGGAGGCAGCTGAACCCGTTTCAGGTAAATACAACTTATTTTAAAGTTGTATGTGTGTGTATATATATATATATATATATATATATATAATGTGTGTGCGCGCCATACTGGATTCTTTTAACTCATGTCAGTATTGGTATAGTTTTTAAAAAATACATCTGGGACATTAATTTTGAAGCACAAGTGGATAATCTTGACATTTTGTTCAGAGGAAACCCATGGGCTGGGTTTGCTTGGTTTATATTCATACATTCATCAGAGTTATATAACTTTTACTTTGTAAATCAGCCAAGACCCTTCAAAGCAAGCAGATAGTTTCTGTTTTGCTGTTCTGTAAACTGTTACATTTGTGTTTACTGCCTGAAAGTCTGAGAATAACTGGGTCAGTGCGACTTTCTGTTGAAGAAACTTGGCACAGCATGTGTCTCAACAATCTGATAAATGTTCTATTCACATGAATACCAGCAACTAGCTGGCTTTTGGAGGAAAAGCCTCCCCCCTGAGGCGCACTATAACAAAGATTAAAATGGGATACCTATTTCTGAGTTTTACATTGCTGTTAGATTCTGTAAACCAAGGATTTCCAAAGCATGGTCTGGGACCCATATGTGATCTTTGGAATGATTTTGTTTGGCCCCACATGACAATTTAGTAATCCTGCAACTCTGGCCGCATCAGCATAGCTTTTTGATTTTTTTTTTTTTATTTAAAAAATTTGTAAAGCAAGATATTCATTGACAAAATTTTAATCTTCACTTTAGATCAAATTTGTGACCAGGGCATACTTTTAACTTTATAGCTTTGTCCCATGTCGATTGGAAAAATTTAAACCCCTCAACATAGACTCTGCTTAATTTTTTTCTCTGTGTAACTCAAATAAGATTTGTATGCTCTTTTTTTATTTCCAGATAAATTTAAACCAATAGAAGAAAAAGATACATTTTGTAAGAAAGTTGCAGCAAAACCAAAAGGTAAAATATTACTCCTTTTTTTTTTTTCAATATAAATTACATTTGACATCAAAAGTACTGAGACTAATCATTGTGTATCAAATTCCTAGCAGGAACCTGGTATCCAAGTGAAGCAAAGCAATACAAGCCACTCCGTGTCTCCAAGAATGTCAGCCTCTTCCATGAGTATCAGAAGAAATACAAGGAGAAGACGTGCACATCGACAGATGATTGACTGATGCATAAATGTTACTAAACTTTGTTACCGACAGTGTTGATATTCTATACTCAGGGAGTAGATTAACACTATGTTGTAGGTTTAATCTCTCTGTAAGAGACCTCAGTTCTGCTTCCTCATCTTTACATTAAAAAGCCTACACATTGAATCTGATTACTTTATATTCTGTGTATGAGTGCATTAGCCAAATGTTTGGCAAGATTTGCTTGTTTTTTTTTTTTTTACTGTTTTTTGTACCAAGAAGTGTTCTATTTTTTTTACAGTGCTTTTTGTCTTTGTCTAAGAAACCTATTGGGTTGTTTGAAAAGTCCCACTTGTCTTGTTTTTTTGTTGTGTAAATTGTTTTTTTGCTAACCAACTCTTGTCTGTTCACATGTGATGAAAAGATTTATATGGAATACTTTTGAAATAGAAACCACACACACACACGCGGGAGACCAACTTAATGTTTGCAATGTACAAAGCGTCTTATAAAAAGTGATGCTTAACATTCAATTAAACCTATTCAATTTTCTAACAACTTGTCAAAGCTTGATGGATCATATACAGAAAATTATTTGTTTTTCTAAACAGACAGGAAATGAATCTTTTGCAAGCTGTTTTATTTCACTAAAAAGTTCTTGGGTTCAAATTCCATCTTTCTGAATACAGTTTGTGCATCATGCTCATGCATGCTATATTTACATTAAAACATGTAATTCCAATTTTCTTTTACAGATGCATGCCTGTATTAAATGAAAATATAAATGGTTATAATTAAAGTAATTGGTTTCTTAGTTAAATCAGAGAAGCCAATGATTGCATGTTAAATGATGTGATTTTGACAATGACCTCGGAAGACAATGAAATGTGTGAATGTCTTATTACCAATGTAACGCATTCACACAAGTGTTGAATGTTTCAAACACTTGAGACATAAAATGTTGAAACAGGCACTCTATAAAAATAGTCTTGAGAAAAGGTAGCTATAGTGAGGAAGCTTGCAGGAAAATAGAAAAAGGTGAGCAGATGGTCACTGGCAAAAGAGAGCAAAGGTGAAGCAACAGCTGTACTGACTGCAAGGAGAAACTAAGATCATGTTTCTCCAGGCAGCAAAGAGGAGTTTTCATAAACCAGAGCTTAATTCAAGAACTGACAAATCAATCATCTGTAGGACAAGAAACGATAAACGAAGTGGAAAGGAAGGAAGTACAGTTGTTTCCTTGAAGCAGACAAAATCAGAGACAAAGATGGAGAAAGAAATCTGGGACAACAGGTAGACTGCAGGCTGCCTTCCAAAGGGAGTCGACCTGTAGGCCTTCAGATTGGGTGTCTCTCATCAATCATAATTATGGTGAGTTACCATCCATCCACTCAGGAGGGAGATCGTGGAATGCAATTTGTGTCTCGACCTGATTGGGTGAAAGCCGCTTCAGATACAAATTATCAGAGCAGTTTGTCTAAATACTGACTCATATTTCAGACCCATTCCCAACCCCTGCCACTCTCTCTCTCTCTCTCTCTCTCTCTCTCTCTCTCTCTCACAAATACCTTTCGTGTACTCCCCTCAACAGCTGCGCTTTCTCAGAAGAAGAGTGCATATGGGATTTCTTGCATACAAAGATGCAGCAGAGTGTACTTATAAACATAAGGATCCTACAGACCAATCCTTTTGGATAAAGCTCAATCAGAGGATTGACTGAGCTTCCTCTGTCAATCAATGTGGGTGTGATCTCAGCTTCATTGAACTATTCAGATTAAATATATTTGCCTGCAACATTGTGCTAAAAGGGAAGACTTTTTCAAAGATGGTAAGAGTACATGCATAAAATGGAGTGAAAGAAGCATTTTTGTGTCTAGATCCTGCAAACTCCCTGCTTCACCAGCTGCAGTCTGGTTTTAATTTTTGTTGTTATTTGACCTCCCCCTCAACCCCACTTTATTATTTAATAGTTTATTGATATTTAAAATTTTTGTCATTTATTATTTTCATCATTTTTTCTCAAACCAACGAGTATTATACTAATAGTTGTATTGAATTATTGGATTTGTTTCGGCTTTATGTACTTTTTCCCTTGACATCAGGATTTCTTGAATTTCTTCATTTTGTACTTCCGATTTCCTGCAACCATTTGGCTGCAGATGCTTAAAAAATAACTGGTAGGTGACAGTAGAAGTTAACATTTATCTCGCCATACATAACTTTTGTTCCTCTTTTGATGTTCATCCAAACACATTGTTCTTTGCATCCAGGAAGAAATACCTCCAATGTGTGTTTTGTCTGTTTTTGCCAAGGTTAACCTTGAATTTGCTGTGTTTCTTTTTAATAAGGACCTTCTTCACAGCTGCCTCTGCAAGACTTCCTGGAAACATTGAATCAGCCAGACTTTTAAAAATGAAAACAAAGAAGGGAGACTTTTACAGGAGATATTTGTGGAGGAGGACATGCACATGGGCTTACGTTAGCAGAAGGAATTTCCCATATTTAACTGTCACTCTTTGTTACCAAGCAAAAATAATTGATTTTCCCCTTGTTATCAAAATGTCATTAATCAAAGAATGAGAATATGTTTCAGTAATAAGAGAAAGATTGATCTTTGTCTTTAAGTTTCTTTATTTGAAGGCAAAAGCGTTCGAAGACCCGTCTCACTGTATGCAGTCAGGAGAAGAGCCCTAAACGACACAACATCGATATGTAGTCACAGCAAGGAAAAGACCTGCACAAAGTCTGATCCTATCTCTATTGCCAGATGGACCACAGAGACATTCCTGACCCCCTCCTCATGAACCATCCCCCACCTCTTGGATGGGATGTTTTATGGCAGGGAAGAGAAACGATAAGGATTTCAGGAGAAACTTCTATTGTTCTTTGTCTCGTGGGTTTCACTCATGACAGTCCTTTAAGACAATTGCCAGGTTAAGCATTTTACCCAAGATGTCTTCAGGTCTCTTCTGCTATCACAGCTGCAGAAACATCTAAGCATTATCTGGAAATTTCTTTATTGGTATTGAGAGAGGAGAAATCCTTGAACTTTAAAAACCTTTTGACTCATTAAATCCTCTTTATGCCCGGATTCACAAAATTGCTGTGCACAAGGACTGAGATCACGCAGAGATAACAGCGTCACAATAATCAGCATTTATTCAAGACAGATGCATACTATGACCAGAAAAGCACATCACAAAACATCAGAAACCTCAGAGCACAAACAACACATGAATTTACCTGAGAGAGAAAAAGACAAGAGATGGAAACGACAAACAAAAAGCGAAGACGTCTTTGGAGAAGTTGCAAGAGCAAAATCTAATGTGTTACTGCTGTGTAGAAAGTTTTATCTTCTTTTCTTTAATTTATTCAATTAAGGCGTATCTTTGCTCCTCCAATCCAGGAGCTATCCCTGACCCTTTATCTGAAGCCAGAAACCCCTGCCGTGTTTACGGCTTTTCACAGATGAGTGTGAAAAGCTACAACTTCCACTGTATTGTTTTCCCACAGACAAAAGGCAGTTCAAACGATCCTAGCAAACCATCTGCTGGAACTACAGGTAAATTAAAGGTCAAAAAGTCAGAATACATTACTGATTTCAAACCACAATTAAGGTATTTGAATCAAGACATGCTAAGTTTTAAAACTAGCTTATTTCAAATTTACTTTCTCAAGAATGGAAAAACACGTCTTGCAGAAATTGCAAAACACAGCAGATATAATCAGTAGATAAATGGTAAAAAATATCATCAGTTCCATCAAAGATGAAAAAAGGCTAAAAAATAAATTTTCTATTACACCTTCAAACAGTACTTTATCCTTGCAAGACTGAGAACAGGATGTAGAGTCAGACATATCACTCAGTATCTGTTTAGTTTGTTCTAACTCAACAAAGAGTCAACATCTTTTTATCAGGCAGACCTCAGATAGCTGTGTCCAGTATCATCAGTCTTGAAACAGACACATCTTACAACTGTGCCGTAAGCATGACCTTGAAATACTGTTAGTGTTTTCAGTAAACTTTTGATTATCACAATACAGTTTCTCACCAGGAGTCTGGAAACCAACCTTTTGAGTTGAATCAGCAACTTCAGTTAGGATGTTGACAAAGACAAAACCTTGAACCTCGTCTGCCTGAGGCCCCAGACATCTCTGAACACTCTCAGGAGGAGTGGAAAAATACGATGGGGCAATAGGCTTACACATTGTTGTGAAAATGGCAATTTGGATGAGAACGATACAGGCGCATGCAGAAAACAGATGTGAGACAGAGAAGGATGAGTGGTCTTGTATTTTGATTTTTCTTGATTAAAAGAATCATGTATTTCATGTGTTATCATTATAAGGGGTTTTCGATTATGTGACCTTTAATCAAGGGTAGTTAATGTCTTATCATTATAAAAGGGTTTTTGATTTTTGCTTTTCTCAATTAAAGAAAGGTATTTCATGTGTTGTTAAGGTTTTTGGTTTGATTTTATAACGTGTGATCATGGGTCAGATAACTTGCTATCATTATACATTATAAGAGGGTATTTTAATTAGAAGTAAAGGTAGTTAAATATAGGAAGTCTTAATCATATATCCCGATTTATGTGACATGTAATCTGATTTTGTCTGACAGGTATTTCATGTACTCTGATTTTGGTGGAAACATGTTATGGGTCCACCAGATGATGTAATGATAGCAGTGTCTATATTTAGTGGAATGATTTTTAGTAATCCAATGTTAATTCTTGAATATTGGGAAAATAAATCAGATTAGAGTGTTAGGTTAAAATAGAAAGAGGGTTTTTGGGTGAGACATGCTGATGGTTGAGAAGCAGAGTAAGAACATTATAAAGAGGAAGTGTTAAACAGATGTTCCCGGGGGAGCGGAAGACAGGAGAAGTGAAAGTGGAGAGAGTGTTAAGGGTTTTTCAAAGGCTATGAGGTCATGCAGAAACCACCCATGTGGACGGTGGAGTTGTCACGTATACCTTTCACATACACACACGTAAACAAAAGAAATATAAACTCTAAAAAGGGAAAGCAAAGGGTTCTTTGTTCCTGGTGTCGGAGTAGAGCTAACATGATGCAGAAGGATCAACGGCAGAGGACGACGCCCTGGAATCCAAGGATCTGCTAAAGGCTCCGCACCCCAGTAAGGGACAAGACCCGTGTACCCCCCGTGCCCGGATTCCTGATTCGACCGTTGCCCTGCTCTCTGCCCCAAAGACCCCAACTCTGCTGCAATGGACTTGGTGAATGGACAAAGGTCACTGATTGACTGAGATCTAAGAGTCTAAAGGATAAAAGACTGGATCTTCTTTGTTCCGTTTTAAGGGGATTTTTGTCTCAACAAAACTGGATCCTGACCAAGAACGAAGAAATTTCTGTTGCAAAGGGACATTACATCTACTGGGTATGAGTCCGACTGCCTCCCAAAGCCTCTTAGAAAATCTAGTGATAGGATAAGAAAGGGATAGATAATGGGGTATTAATCCGACATTTAAAAAATGTTTGATTGTAATCGGTAAATTGTTTGAAATAAGTTTATGTCGCTTAACCCTGCT